TCCCAAGATGTGCTGGAGGAAAGATTCACAGGCTTTGTGGTAATCCCTGAACTCCAGCATGTTAATGTGCAGTATCTCTTCCCTTTAGGACCATAGGCCTTGGGCTTGAAGGTCATCAGGATGTGATTTACTACATACCAGTGATGGATATACAACTATAATTTTAGAGTAAGAGCAGTTTCTCTTCCACGCATATTTTTCAGGTTACTTACACCACTTCATCGTCCAAACTAGTTTAATATTTTCCCTGCGGTAGGTAGGAATCAAAATCACATCCAAGAGTGATTTTCCTAGAGTATCTTCACCATGACTGCATACACCAAAGGCAGTCTGGTAAGTTAAATGAGACATGCGCCCAGGCCCTTGGAGTGGCTATCCTATTTTGGGATAACTGTCTCATGGAATAGGGGGATAATATTTTAATCCAGGTGACCTCCATGGCACCATTCAGGAACAAAGACATTTTTGAAACCTTCAAAATTCGCAGAGAGAGAGAAATATATCTATCTATAATCGAGAGAGAGAGAGAGAATGAACTAAAGAGATAGGAAGAAGTTATGGTGAGAAATAGTTGGAAGGAACTGAGTACAGAGGCATGATCCACTTTTTAAGGTGAAGCAACAGGAAAAAGTAGGGGCAGGTTTAATGTGAACACTTCTGGATGAAAGGAGGTGCAGTCTGAGGACCTGACATTTACATGTGCACATTCCGTGGGTACATGAACGCTCACTCAAAAGAGAAGGTTGCCATTTTTGGACCAAACTGTGTGAACTGTCAATTCATACCTCCATGCTATAATCCAAGCCTGCCTGAAATGTTTTGCTTTTTTTTTTTTTTTTTTTAAAAGTTTATTCAGCAAAGAAAAAGAAAAGGTCATTTACTTCTTTTTTGCAAAATGTAGTTTCAGCCCCACTTAGTCATTGCCTCATGTAGAACCCATTTTATTTTTTACCCAAATTAGTATACTGACCTGGCATGAGAAATAGATGCTTAAGCAATATCTGTGTTTGGTATTTCAGAACTACTATATATTGACAAATCACACATGTACATTCCAATTCCTATTTCTTTATTCATTTCTAAGACATGATCATAATTTTGTCTTTCATTCTTTATATCTAAAAAGCTATATCTGCTTTTGTCTCTAGAAAGTGCAATGACGACATGCCAATTTCTATATTATCTGAGGAAAATCATAGCTTCTAGTTAGATGGCACATTTGTTCACACACCAGGTTATGTTGGGAAAGAAGTGGCATGCATCATTGCTTGAAAGTATTTATGGTTGATTACTGCTATAAGCAGGGCTTTATGCCCATTCATTATCTAGGAAACTAGTGAGAAAACATCTAGTGAATGTTGCTCAAATACAATCAACTTAAAATGTTTCTTGTTCTTGATTTCCCAATAAGACTAAACTTAACATGACCATTAAAATAGTTGGATGCTTTTTTAACTGCACAAAGAAGTCAGACAGGCATAATTCTGTGGGTCTGGATGGTCTGATAATGCCTACTGTCAAGAGGTAGGAGGATTTTTTTGTTTGTTTGGTTGGTGTTTTTTTGTTTTTTACTCTTTTGCTTGCCAAAAAATGAAGCTTTAGGGTAGTCAGAGTTATTGCCAAATTTGACAAGTAATTTCAGCTAAAGAGGTATGAAATAGTTTGAAAATGTTAAATTGTTTTGTAAATGCCGAAACTGCTGTTTTTTAAATTTCAAAAAATAAGATTTATAAAAAGAACTTGGTACCAGTCACAAAATGAAAAGATGCTACTAGGTTAGGGGTAACAACAGCCTCATTATACCGAGTAGTCCATGGCCAGGACATTTGAATTCTAAACCCTTGCCCCCCACTATTTCACTGAAACCAGAGTGTGGAATCTGGATATCCCACCTCAGAGATGGACATCCTAAATTCTGACCTATATATTGGACCACTTAATAGCTATGAGAAACAGAAAAGAAATAGCCATACCGAAGTATTGTATAGCTCAGTGGTATAGGTCACTCAAAGGTGAGAAACCCAAGTACTCTCTTGGCCTCATTTCAAATGGAACATAATCACCACTTCCTATGTTTTCTGAACTTCACCTTTGTCTCTTTACAGAATATTCTAATGCCTGGAAATCTAAAAGATAAAACAATATAGATCTTGGCCAATAATTATCTCCTTATCTCCCTGGACTTTCTTGAATTTTACCCCGCAACACGTATAATAAAGGGGATATGCAAGCATTACATTTAAATCAATTTAATCAAACTTAGCTTGGTCTAAACTCATCAAAATGAAATGTTTCCATAGCATAGGTCAAGCTAAGAGTGGTGTATGCAGTCTAAATTTCTGTTGTGCCAGACAAAAACAGCTGATAGGGTATAAACTGGTCTAATGAATGCTTGCAAGGTTGCCCTATCAATTCACATTAGCCTGCTGTCCTCCCACATTGTAGTATGCATTGCCAGCTCCCCACCCCTCTCCCACTGGGAGAGGCTTTGACATTTGGGCTGCACTCTTCTACTACAACCAAGGAAATTCCAGACCTGAGATAGCATGGGGGTGAGGGAGCACAATTTCTCTCCTCCACCCCACCTTGTGTTGCAAGCCACAGAAAGATGCAGGGGGACTGAGGTAGCTATATTCCTCACATAAGACTCAGTCCCCTGAAGACCTGAGACTCCAGCCTATGCCCTCACTTTCAAGACTCCATCCTGAAGTACCCCATGACCCATATGTATACCCAAACACTGAAGCAAGAGAACCTCAAGACCCAGGCACAGACACAAACCCTAATAGCTGCACACCAAACCAGAAACCCCAAACCACAAGATTTGTGCACAGACCCACAAGTCCAGGACCTCAGCGCTCAGATAGTGAGCCAGAAACACCAAATCTGACAAGACTTGAACACATAATTAGAGACCCCATATTTGAAAAGCAAGACTCACTCCCTACGTGCAGGACCTGGTTTTGGCATTTCAGGTCTGCAGCCTCATGGGGATGGGTTTGCAGATAGAGTATTCAGGTGAAGGATAGGCGACAACATGCTGGTCTCAGAACTGTTGGAATTGCGTTGCATCAAAGACCAGAAAGGTTTCCTCCCTTCCAGCTTCCCTTCTTCCCTCCCCAAGCAGGCACAGATGAGAAGGCTGGAGTCCCACAGGTGAGAAGCAGGTGCAGCCAACTTAATTCAGAAGCCAGTGTCACTTGCAGGTAGAGCCTCTGGACAGGCTTGCAGGTAGAACTTGAACAGTCCCACTCCAACCCCAAGAGCAAGTCTGTGGGAGTAAGGCACCTCCAAGTCTTGCAGTGCAAGAAGTCACTATACCAAATGCCCAGCACCCCCCACCCGTTCCCCTAGGGCCACATTACATTTTCCCATTCCCAAACAGCATGTCTCCCTACCACTCTGCAAAAAGCCCCTCTAAACTTGTGTCAGAGCACCCGAGACACCCAGGATGGCTTTGTCCTTGTTAGCCATGTAAAAGTTGTTGGGCTACTCAGAGATACTTCGTTGCCATAGAGAGTGTGGTAAATGGCCCTGCACAGGACATCCAGGTCATGGGTATCAAGGTACATACCAGCATGAAAATCTGCTAGAACATCTCTATGTGGGGACATGTAATGTCCCATAGCCTCCAGCAAAACAGTCATGCAGGCCAACAAGAATTGTGTGCCACATCTCCCATGAGCTTGTGCACAGCCAATAGGGCTCCATGGTACATGCAGTTAACAAGGCAGCACTCACTCTAGATCTCTTTTGGAAACCTCTGGGCAGGGGTAGCTCACTGCAGGGTGGGAGTATGGTTCCTAGTAGCAGCCATCCAATCAGGGATGGCCCACATGCTCAGCAATCTCCAGCATCTCAGGGAGCCTGCATAACATACTAGGATGTGCACAGAACGGCTCTCTGCCTGCAGGTCATCGCCACTGCAGGCTGCCTGGACACCTCTTCCTTCAATTGTAAATGCCTACATGCTTCTCTATCAATTCAAGTTTAGGTCATTCACACTAAACTTCATAACTTAGACTGGTTCTTCTTCATGCTTTTCAAACACTTAGACACTCAAAGATGCTAGGCTAATATCAAAATGATTCCCTTTCAATTGCGTGGTCATACTGTCTCAGCTTCTCTTGTATTTGTAAAACTAGGTTAGATATCATTGGAAAACATTTTCAAGATTACCAAAACTTGCTAATATTTGTAAAGCCAGATAGATACATGTTCAGTGGAACTCAAATCAAGTATGGGATGTGGAGTTCACCCTAAGTTATGTTGGTACAAAGAGGACCAAGGTATTTTCATGTAATAAACACATTGTAAAAATGCCATATCAGAGTTGGGATTTTAGAAACTTCAACTATCCATGAATAAAGGTAAGCTGAGGAAAGACCTAGAATTACTGACTGCTACTGAATGTGCTTTTTGTACTTTCTTGCTTAAATTTGAATCGTCATTCTGACAGCTTTGGTTTTTCTTTTGTCTTGAATTCAAACTGAGGCCTTTTTGTATTCTGATAGGGCATCCTTTCTAAAAGTTGCCCTATGTACCTCACAACTATGGTTCCAAATTGGAAAGCAAAGCCTGGAAAATAAAGGATTGAAAATAAAGTATAAATTCTTATTTCTTCCTACATTTAACTGGAAGAAAGCAATATCTTGTTATACTTTGAATTTGTTTCTAACCCTGTGGGGCACATAAAATATTGAAAACCCTTAAAGTTTTTTTTTTTTTTTTTTTTTTTTAATTGAAAGTTACCTGAAACTTTCATAACTTCCAGGAACATTTTAGGTTTTGATTAATGCTAGATGTGAGTGGAACTTCAGGTCCAAGAAAAAAATTTATGAGCTTCTCGTAACAGTTTCAGGATTATTGGTAGGTCAAATCCTTTTAGAAGTTGACACAGTTCTTTACTTCTAAGGCACACTTGCCTCTCAGGAACACTAGAACATAAGTCGGCCCTCAACAAACACAAACATAAGATAGTCCATACAGGGTTAACTCACGGTCCTAGGGTCTCTTCTCTAATCCCAAGAAGGCGATTCCATTTCCCTGCTGCTCTCTCAGCACTAGCATCTTCCTCCTCTCCATCTAGTACGAGTTTCCTGGTGTGATGCTGCTGGTTCCAGCTCCACAACCCCTGGATCTTTTCCCAGACCTTGTGAGGTAGCTTGGCTCAGTTCTGCCACCTCTAGCCTGACTCCTCTCACAGACCTATCTTTCTGGCTCGCTTACGCTCTCTCTCTCTCTCTCTCCCTTCCTTTCTACCCTGGGAGCCTTTTAGGCTCCTGTGGACTGGCTAATTATCCTCTGCAGCTGGTCCAGTTCTTCTAGGCAGTGCCTATTGCTTGTAGCTGGGCTGTAACCCTTGAAAGCCTGTGGAGTACTACATCTACAGTCTTCTGCAAACCTCTGAGAGCCAGCCTGCTACATTCCTTTTTTCACCCCTATACAGTCTCCTGATTCATGCTTCCAACTCAGAAATGCCTTAAAAACGTCCCCAAATCAGTTTTACCAACTTTATATGGAATGTAGATTTGATTTAATTTCAATAGTCTAAATCAATTTGATTTTGTATTCCTTAAGCGATTCCCTGTGGCTATAACTGTAAAAAATTCAAGCAGTTTTCTGAATGTAAGAGTTGTCTCTTGAGATAAAAACTGATTATTAATAAAGGTTAGAAAAATTGAACATGACTTTCAGCCACCCCAGTAAAGCAGGTTTGTGCTAAATGACAAGTGACATTAAAAACCCATGAGAAGCTGGTCTCCGTCAGGCTCAAGGGACTTAATTGGTTCTGGGGAAAGAAAATGTCACCTTTATAGGCAGTTAATTTTGTTCCTACCCAAGAACAAATGCATGGAGATAAGAAGCATTCCTCCAAGTAAGGCCTTTTTAAGACAAGGGAAACAAGCTAAGCAAAGCCTTTAAATGCTTCTTTTTCCATTGATATTTTGCTTCTATTTGAGGGTTTCATTATGAGCTCAACCCTGCATGATGCAAGTGTAAGGTGAGCACACTCAGAATTTCAGGATTACATTTATTTTCCAATAGCCTGCATTTTTATACATTTATACTGAAGGCTTCTTAAGACCTGCCCAGAGTCTTGACAGCCCTTGATAACATTACAGTGAGAACTGTAGGCCAATCCATCAAAGTAGTTAACTGTTTAAAACTGAAACACCAATTCAACTTTGGGTACATGCTTAACAGTTTCACTGAAAGAGGTCAGTGTTCAGCCCTTGCAAAATTGTAACACAAGTACAAGGCAAGCCTTGGTAACTTTGAGAGGTACAAACTTCTGGTTGAAAAGCATAGCATTACTGTTAAATACCTTGCCCTCTTATTACAACCTGTCTTGTTGCAAACAGGAGCCTCCTTGCAATTATGCTGTCTTACCCTTACCCTGTGATGTATTTCTGACAGAGGCCTTCAAGTTTTTAGGCTTGGAATGCTGTTAACTGAAATTCCCTTAGATATTATACCTGGGAAGTTTTGAAAAAAAAAAAGGATTTTAAGCCTTTTTTTTTTTTTTTTTTAAAGTGGACATTAGAGTTCTTTTACTGCAACACAGGCCTAGCATTCCCAGATGCCTATATATTTCCCCTTTTGTAACCTAAAATTACTGCCTTCAGTTATAAATGTCTGGAACTGTAATCCTTCCAAGCACAAACTGGCATCCTTGTCAACTAAAAATGAACTCTCTCTCAACCCTAGTTGTAAAAATTGAGATACATCTGACATGAATAGCTGCTGCTCAAGTGAGTTAGATTGAATCTAAAAATTGTTTCTCTTTAAAGCTGGGTTAATTTTCCAATTCCGTCAGTTATCCTGAGTTTTGCAATTTGAAATATTATTCTTAAGGTGACTCCTCTTCGAATGATCAAACTATATAGAAATCTAGCTTGTATTTAAAAGAAAAAAAAAAGTTAGTTTTGTCCCCCCAGGGTTGCATAGGAAAGTTTGAAAGGGTGACTTCACTCCACCCTACAGGCTCAAAAACCAAAAGAACAATAAACAATTAATGCCACCCCCCCCAAAAAAAAACCCCAAACAAACAAACAAACAAACAAAAAATCAGTAAGGAGAAAGGAATAATCATTTTTGAGTGGTGCGGTTAGCAATATTAATTCATTTATTTTTATGGTCATGAGGAATTATCATAACCTAATTGTTGACATGAAAGTTTCAAGACTACTACAGAACTAAATTTTGTTTAGTTCCCTCAAGGCATCTGTTATCATTTAGTAGCAACATGCTAGTTCCTCCTGAATTAAATTGTATAGATTTGTTTACATTATTGGGGAAGGAAATCTGGTATAGGCCAAGCCTCTATTGCAATAAGTTGACTACCCTGAAATCTCACTGGGTGCAACTACACATGCAATAAATGTGATTCAATAAACTCCATATCACGCTGGAGTTTACTGGTCCCAGGCAATATGTGCCTGGGACACCAGCACGTTGAGCCAGGTTGGAACAGCCATGGCTGGCAGGGAGCTTGGTGGAGGTCAGCCTACCTGCCCAGGGCTGCTCCAACCTGGCTCATTGTGCTGTACAGGGGCTGGCTAGGGCAGAAGAGTTATCCAGTATGGGGCTAACTGGCAGGCAGCCCCCACACTGAAGCCTCTTCATACCCTAGAAAGCTCCATCAGCGTCTACACATGCATTGCTGCACACTAAAGAATGCCACCCTAAGACAGTATTTGTGTTTACAAGTACTAACCTACAGCAGAGTTAATTTCTTATAGCCTAACAGGGCCACAGATGTAGACCCTGAGACTTTACTGTGGAGCTTATTAGGCAGCTCTGTAGTAAATGTCTCATGTAGATGCACCAAGTGAAATCATCAAATGTTTAGCATGGTTAAGAACTTTCACCTGATCAGGCCCTTAGAAATTAAAAGGTCACACGTTTGCTTTAAAACAGATATACTTTGTTTCACCAGCAGATTTGTTTCTACCCCTTATTAAAGATATTTGTCCTGAAACTGCTTAATAAGATGAAGAAAATTTATAAACAGATTTTTAAAAGATGTAATTCATGGTTTTATAATCACTGGGCATGTCTACACAAGATGTTTACTAGGGAGCTGCCTAATTAGCTGTGCTGTAAAACATCGCCATCTATATGTGCGGTGCTATTGGGTATGATTAAAATTATTTTTTTTTAAATTAGTTAAACAATTAGCTCCACCACAAGATAGTACTTGTAAATACTCTCCTGCTGCAGAGTTCTTTATAGGAATGCACATGTAGATGTTGATGGGGCTGTCTGGGGCACAAGGGTGCTTCAGTGTGGGGGCTGCCAGCCAGTTAGCCCCACATTTGAGCACCCTTGTGCACCAGCCAGCCCCTCCACAGCACATTGAGCTGGGCTGGAGCAGCCCTGGGCTTGCAGGCTGACCCCCCGAGCTCTCTGACAGCCGGGGCTATTCTGACCTGGCTCAACATGCTACGATCCCTGATGCACATATAAACATAGCTTCCAGAAGCAATAAACTCCAGTGCTATATGTGCCAGAGTGTATTGCTTCACCTTAGTAGCATATGCAGATGAGTCCACTGTGTCACACACACAGAGTCATATACATTGTTTGTTTGTTTGTTTTAATTATAGCATAATTCCATCATCCAAGCAGAAAGGACTACTTGCAAACAACTATTGATGTATCTGTACCATTCACCCATTTTATCAGACAAGATTTTTACATCAATTTTGTGATACATTTTCAGCAGCACAATTTAATTGCATGTAGATTTATTTCTGCAGCACTTTGAAATGAATTGATTGTGAAATGGACATCCTAAGGACCTACCTTCCAGGATTTAGGCATATGAGTAACTTTATATTATATAGTAGTCCCATTCCTTTCTGCTGGCCTTTTCAGCTTTGCTGATTTAGCAAAGCATTTAATTGTGAGCAAGAACCAGAGGCCAATGTGAGCACCTCATGATTTTATAAAACTTTCAAAATGCAGTTTGTTATTAACGCCTCAGTTCAGGAGACTAATGAATCCATAAGCACCTATTTTTTCTAAGTCTCAATATTTATGCTTGTGAGGAGGACACTTTAAAACATAACCCCGTAAAGATTTAAAACATATCAAATATTAAAAAAATAAACTTGCATTTTAGTTTGAAAACTGTATAGTTTCAGAATATCCTGAATTTAGTGATACTAACTCATTTATATAGTAAAGCAGATATGTAAAAAGATAATTTTTCAAGACAATCCCTTAGAAAAATGAAAGATATTGAGAACTGGGAGGTGGTCCAGAGAGTTTTTTAAATACCAAGGGTCTGCAGATGTTGCCTACTGTTTTACAATAAAGTTGTTGTTGGTTTTTCTTATCTATTGTATGTTTGTGTTTGTTGAACCCGGTGATGATCATTAAAACCTAGGTCAATGGGGACTACCTTTTTTGGCAGGTGTGTCACAAACTAGTCCCACACCTTCCTTGAGAGCCACGTGATTCCTTTTCCTCAAATGATCTGATGCTCTGCTTTCTGCTCACTGACGTATCTGCCACTCTGCTAAATGTCTCCTCCCCAACCTGCTGCAAGCCAAACACAGAGGCTGCAGTGCCATTTGTGGCACCTGTTCCACAGGTTGTATACCCTCCGACTTAAGCCATACTTTAAAAATGAAATCTTGTAGCCCATTATTTTATAAAGGATAATGTGCTCATTTTGGGTCTCTGTTATATTTTCCATACTGAAAATGGGTGTATTAATGTTCATATCTTTGTAGAATCAAGCCTAAATGCTTTTGGTATTATGCAATAAAGTTTCATGCACACTCACCTTCTGCAAAGAATATAAATTAGTCCCAGCTAGGCTCTTACTTAATGTATGTATTCAAACAGAAGAATGTGCATGATATTAATGAAGAAATTGGTCAGTTTGAGTCTAACAAAGCATGTTAGATTTACTCCCTTTAATATTTTTTTTGCTGTAATACAGGGTGTGTCTACATGTGCAGTTAGTCATGACTAAATGTACTGTGCATTAAGCTAATGCACAGCAAGAGATTTTTGGCAGGTGTCTACATGTGCTGGAAATTGGCACTAAATCTAGTGCCAAGTCCCTTCAGCCCTGTTGTGTGACCCTGTGACCACTGGACGGAGCTCCAGCCTCCAGCCACATGGCTGCCAACATCTGCCAAAATGTCTGCAGGCTTTTATACTCTGCAGCTAGGGGCTGCCAGAAAGCAGCCCAGCCCTGGAGCA